GTTCTTCGGCTTTTTTCTCTCTTATCTCTTGAGCCCGAAAACGTTGCAACCTTCTCTTTTGAGTAGTCGTCAAATCCATAGGCATCCACCTAGGATTCGGCTCTATTCCAGGAGGTAAATAATGTCCTCTATTGATTTTGCTTGGAGACGATGAAGCCCTCACATCGCCCTTTGCAATCCTCCTATCAAACCGGCGCTGGAGCCCGGTCAGACCGGACGTAGACCACCGGTCAGACTGGCTAGATGCGCTGGTCAGACTGACATTTGGTGCGCGGTCAGACCGGCCTGAAGCGTCGGTCGGACCGCTGTCGGGTCGGCGGGGACCAGCCTGATGGCCCGGACAGACCGGCCACATGGCTGCGGTCAGACCGGCCAGAGGGCCCGGTCAGACCGGCCGACTGCGATGAGCTAGTATCGGCTTCGGATTTTTTGTTTGGGGACACTCCAACTCCATCTCCAGAAGGTATTTGTACATCATGAGACCCTACTTTGATAGTAATCACCTCCGAAGTCCTCGCCTCCACCTTGACGCGCTTTCCTTCCCTTTTTTCTTCATTAGCCTGATTCTTACCATAAAACCGGCTATTGTTTGGTGAAGACAAATGCTCATGAATTGGCCTCCTCGGTCCTCCCCACCCTTGGTTGAATTGCATTGGAGGCATATGATTGAACATTGGCGGCGTCGCCCCCCATGGCATGAAGTAAGGATAAGGATAACCCGGCGGCGGCATTGGATAAGAACCCCATGACATGTCTTGTGGATGATGATATGAAAGTGAATGCGACCATCTTGGTGAATGACCAAATCGCTCCCTAGGAGCTGATCTTGGTCTTTAATCTTTCTTCCGAATTTTCTCACCACCTTGCTTCTCATAGTTCTCCAAAAGCATATCAAAAGTCACTATGGTCTTCCTAGGGGCTTTAGAAGTTGAAGCTTCACTCTTATTTTTCTTCCTAACACCAACCTCCGGCTTCTTTGGCACTATCATCTTTGGTCTTGGTTCACCAATGATTACTCCTGTTCCTTTAGTAGATTCGGCTGGCTCCGGCCGAATCAACACCTGTTTAGTATTGAAAGTAATTGTATTCACTAGAAAAGGATCATGATCAAGCTTCATCTTGGAGCCATCGGTAAACTTCAATCGTCCTTCATCTATGGCCGATTGAACCTGTCGTCGAAACACATTGCAATCATTAGTAGAATGAGAATGAGAATCATGCCATTTACAATATGCTCGACGTTTCAACTCTTCTTGAGATGGTATGACATGGCCTTTAGGTAATATAATTTGTTTTTCTTGTAAAATATAATCAAAAATCTTATCACACTTGGCCACATCAAAACTATATTTAACCTCACTTTGCCGATCTTTGCGAGGAGTCGGCATTAGGTTGGAGCAAACAAAAGGCTTGTTTTTGTTAGTCCATGACTATTCAGCAACATATATATCATGATCACCCTCCTCCTCACTATCACTAGCCTCAGGGTAATCAATCACATTAACATTAGGCTTTTTGTCATATGATCTAACAAGTTTTTTATTATCCTTAACCCGACTTTCTTGAGCCAGAGCCCTTTGCATAAGTTGACTAACATCAAAAAATTGTTGGCCATCTAGTCTTTCTCTAAGAGGAGCAATTAAACCATTAAAAGCAAGACCAACCAAATCTGTATCAGTTATATTCAAGCTATAACATCGGTTTCTAACATCCCTAAATCTCTTAATATAATCAATGACAGGCTCATTATACTTTTGCTTAACCGATGTTAAATCACATAACCTAAGCTCAGTTTCTCTAGTATAGAAATAATCATGAAATTTTTCTTCTAATTGAGCCCAAGTATGAATAGAATTTGCCGGTAAAGAAGTAAACCATGTAAAGCATTACCGGACAAAGATAAAGAAAACAAGCGCAATTTAAAAGTATCACTATTAGCCTCACCACATTGCACCAAAAATTGACCTACATGCTCCCATGTGGTCTTACCATCCTCACCACTAAACTTGGTAAATTCGGGAACTCTATAATTACGGGGAAACGACACATTATCATAATAATCAGGATACGGCTTTTTGTAAACCCTAGCACGATTCGTAGTTTCAATCCCGAATCTATTCCTAATAATCTCACTAATTATATCCTCCATATTATTAGGCCCATGTTGATTTGGCGGTGGATTTGGTGGCCTAATAGGTTGTGTTTGTGGCGCAATGTGATTATATTAGCCTTGTCTAGTATCGGGAGGATACCCCCTAGCAACATCATTATAAGCATTAGGAACATGTGGGGGAACTTAGGGATTATTTGCAGCAGTAGATACAGGAGGATCAAATGTTCTAAGATGATACAAATAACTAGCATTAGTCATCGGATCAATTCCCTGTATCGGTATAATCGCGCCTGACGGAGCGTGGGGCTCCTCACCGGGAGACCGCGCAGGCCCCCCTTTGCCGGTTCGGCCGGGGGCTGCTAAGTGAGATTCTTCGCCCTCGATCTGATGGAACGTCAGCGAGAGAGGAAATGCGCAAGACACGGGCGACGTAGACAGGTTCGGGCCGCTGAGAAGCGTAACACCCTACTCCTGTGTTCTGGTGGATCTGTGCGTGAAGGAATACAGAGAGCCCGAGAGCGAAAGAGAGTTCAGGCTCTAGAAACCATTCGCCAGAGTCCCCCCTCCCCTCCTTTCCCCTCTTTCTTTTTTTCTAGGCCTGGGCCTCCTTTTTATCTGGTCAGGGGTCACCACATGGGCCTCTAGCTGCCTAAGAAGGGAAACATGCTTTTTACAATGAGGGCTAGTCTACAGCCGGAAGTGACCTCTGACAAGCAGAGCGCACGCCTCCTGCCCCGCTCGCCCGCTTTTCCGGTGGACGCCCATTTCAACCTTCATTTAATGGCCAGCGACTTCCTTGCCATACTTGCGCTGAAGCCTGGAATGTATCTGACCGGGACTGACATACCAACTCCAGGAGTTAGCACGCCGGCTCCGGCTAGGGACGAGAGCCAGGAAGCTCTCATCATTCCGACGGGACGGGGCGAGGCGTGTGACAGGCCGCCTGTTGCCACCTAACCCGCGATCTGACCGGTCTGTGACCGGTCACACAACGCGACCAGTCGCGGACCGGATAAGCGTGTGCTGCGCCGCATTAAATGCGGCGTGGCGCGCTCGTCCAATCTGCTATAAATGCGGTTCGGTGAGCCCGCTGTGCTCACCTAACCCGCACACGTAGCGCCAAAACCACAGGGGGTCGGGGCGCCCCAGCCCTCGGGGCCGAAACGGGAGCGGGCCGACCCCCTCGGGGAGACAGAGGGAGGGGTGGCCACGTCACCCTCGGGCCCGACCCCCCCGAAGGGGTCAGGCCACGTGGGTGACCGCGGCTACCCAAGCCTCTAGTCACGATACCCCCGGCCCCATGTCACCGACAGCATCGGTCTGACCAGCCCAGGGCCCGGTCTGACCGGCATCCAGAGGCACGGTGGGACCGGCCTGAGTACCGGTCTGACCGCCGGGGTAATACCCGGTCTGACCGGCCGTTTGGCCGGTCGGACCGACGGCTAGGTTGCAGTCTGACCGGCCGTCAGTCCCGGTCGGACTGGCCGTGTGCACCGCTCCATCGGTTCTTATACCCGTTTGATCTATAGGAGGCTGGTTAGCAGTGGTAGAGGCTTTATCCTTTGACATGTAATCGGCCATAAGAGGGCCGAATTTAACCCTTAAAAACTCATCAAATTTACCCTCAAAAGTTGCATCTAACTTATCTTTGAAAGCAATCATAGATGAATCTATTGTAGATGCTACTTGTTGTTGGATAGATTGTGTTACCTCATCATTACTTACCAAATCAGGGGCGAGCTTAGGACGTGGCCCGGGCTTGATGATCACGCCTTGACGAGTCCTAGTGCTTGCCCTCATCAACGCCTCCCGTGTGAGTTCGTTGATGTACTCATCCATAGCTTTGCGGTCCTCTCCTTCGAAATCCTCCAATGTGACCGGTATCACATTGGCTGGTTCCACCTCCGTCTTGGATGGCGGCTTCGTCATGGCGAAGTCGAAGTTGAGTTGACGATGAACGGATCTCCTCCCCAGCGGAGTCGCCAAAAATCGTGTTGGCAACTTTTTTGACAAGTTGACAAGCACGATCTCAGCACCTTAAGCCTAGCGGTGATCCTAGAGTCGCCAACCACCTCGATCTAGCAAAGAGCTAAACCTAGATGAGTTTTAATAACTAAACCAGCTAGCAGAGCCGATTTCTAGATAACTACCCGTCTCGTGGGCAAAACGGAAGATTTTCAGGACAAACCTACAAAGAGATGTCGCACTCTCGCAGCGGCGGCGGACTGTTTACGGCGCAAACCGACAAAGATGGACGAACTAAGAGAAAACTAAAAACAATATGAAAAACGATTCGATTGATTGATTGTAGATTGATTTTTTACAATGAACCGGCCATGTCCCTTATATAGGGGTTGGTCTTGCCCTCTACAGGCCCTCTCCCACATCCAACTGGAGTAGAAACCAAAGGAAACCCGAAACATGCCTTCCCGAGCAAGGAAACCTCGAGACCCGACGAAACACAGTCGGACTCGGACCTACCGGTCAGACCGGCGTGTGGCCGGTCTAACCGGCCCTCAACCGGCGGTCTGACCGGCAAACACACGGCGGTCAGGCCGGCCCACTCGGAGGAAACCGGTAGACTTCCAAATTTTGGCAATCTTTACTATTTTAATCCTAGATGCCAAATTTGGATGTAAACAGGTACCACCGGTACTTGCCAAAACGTGCTAATGATCTACAGTGTCCAAACGTTCAAAGCAGCGCTGCATCATTCAACAGTCCTCTAAACATATCAAAGCACTCTGTATAGTGGGGCCACAGCTCCCCAAAGGCCTCACCCCCGACGCGCCACGTGTCTGTCCTCTCCCTGGCAAATGGCAATCCCGTAGATACCGCTCAAGACTACGCCCCCTCGTGAACCGTCCCAAAATGCTGCGTGCGTGGCGTGGCCCCCGGGCTGATTAAAGAGAGAGAGAGAGAGAGAGAGAGACCCCAACTCTCTCCATCGATCTGCTTCCCCGCCCGCGTCCTTCTCTCGATCGATCGAGCGAAACGCCGCGCGACTCCGCGACTCCCTCTCACGCCTCTAAAACAGCAACCGCACGCACGCACGGACGAACGGTGGTGGAGACTGAAGGAGATCGAGAGGCCGATCCGACCGATGGCCGGCGACGAGTGGCGCTGCCGGAAGCACCCGGCGCCGCCCTGCGGCGGCGTGTGCCCGTACTGCCTCCGCGACCGCCTGCTCCGGCTCTGCCCCGAGTGCGCGCACGCGCGGCCCTGCCCCTGCGCCGCGTCGTCCTCGTCCCCGTCCTCCTCGTCCTCCTCCGCGGCCTCCGGCAGCGCCGCGGTGGTCGGGAGGGTGTACAGCCTCATCGAGCGGGAGCGGCGGATGGGACTGCGGTCCCGATCCGTCGCCGCGGGCGGCGGCGGCGGCGGCCGCGGCATCGTCGTCAGGGACGAGAGGCCCAAGTCGAGGGCGTTTGGGTGGGTGTCGTTCCGGAAGGCGACGTCGGACAGGGTCGTGGAGGTGGACGACGGGGCGGCATTGGCGCGGTCGAGCTCGGTGTCGGCGACGGCCGTGGAGACGAGGGCGCCTCCCAAGTCGAGAGGGTGGGGGCGGTTCATCCCGGGCTCGATCAAGGCGCTGCGCCACCGCAAGTCCCGCGCCGCCGGCGATTGCCGCGAGGGTGTCAGGTGAGATCGCCCGATCGGCGCGTGAATGCGTGATCATTCCGGGCGATTTTCGCAGCAGCGTGGAGGATCTAATCATCATCATCATTCGGTTGGTGCTTTCTGTGCGCTTACGATGCCGTTAATTAATTTGCTGATTAAATCTGTTTGTCCCCCCCCCCCCCTGTAATCTGAGGATCCGAGCTGATTTTGGTGTCACAAGAAAAGAGGGTGTAAATATTTGATGTGAGTTCATTAGCGTTCACAATGGGTGATTGGGTGTTCTAATAAACAGGCTGTTTTGATCTTTTGTAATCCGATGACGCGTTGGTGTTCTTGGCAATGTCCCTCAATTTCTGCTAATTGCAATGCTAAACACAAATGTCCAGCGAGCGATGCCTCGTGGGGGCGCGCTGGCGCGGCGCCTGCACGCGCGCTGTGTCCTGTAGCTCGCGTCACCGTCTTCCCGGACGGTGTCACGGCCATTCCATTTCCAATAGGTTTCTCCATTGGATTGGAACCCGCGCCGACCAAAGCGTCGCGTACAATGCCATGGCTCGCCATGTTGCTCTCTGGATGCCGTGATCGATCCACCGCCGCGGGCAGGAAGACATGGCCGGGCCGGTGCACGCACGCATCATTGCTAAGCTGCGGCTGTCCGCGTAGTGCGCACGTACACCCGCGCACCGATGTGTGTACGTGCTGGCACCGCGGGACGGTGCTCGTGCTCTCGTGCAGGGCCAGGTCCAGGGCCAAGGACGTCGTCCCGCACAGCATTGCAGGAGCACTGTGCTACGCACAGTGTGACGCGAACCCAATTTGGCTTGGTTGGGTTCACCGGAGAATCTTAGTAATGGGCAATGGCAGCCTTTCCAGGACGTGTCCCGTTGTGTGAGGCCGTGACTTGTGAGCAACCGAGCATTTCTCGGCATGGCGATTCATGCCAAGAAAAGTGAGTCCGAGAAAAGATAGGGGTGACTACCATCTCACACCTGACCATGCTCTTTCCGTGTTGGTGAAGCGCCAGCTTGGAAGGAAAGAACTCCAAGATGAGAATGATTTGGGCGAGTTGGCGTAGCGTGCTGCATTATATTGTCCTCGATCAGATTTTGCCTCTAGTTTTGAGAAATCTGAGGCCCTACAAGGTTTGGAAAAAAAAACAGAATTTGGTGCGGCAGATGCAAGATATGTTCCGCAGACTACAAGCCGAAAAATAGCAGAACGTTGCCCTGCAGTGAAGCTGCGAAACAGAGAGAACAAGATCATCTGTAAGGAAGTGTCTACGACCCTAGCTACCACTTTAATTCCGAGTCCGATGATGGTCAGGGCGTGAACGTGTTCAACATTTTTAATTGCCAATCAAGAAAAGCGTGATATAATGTGGCACGAATTATTGTGCTTCTAGAAAGAACAAGCCGGTGTGCGATCAGCATCAATGATACTACTAACAAGGGTCAGGGTCTCAGGGACTGGGGTGTGTTTGAGGAGATTGGGATTAATTGAGTATTAACTATTTTAAATTTTAAAAATAGATTAATATGATTTTTTAAAACAACTTTCATATAGAAATTTTTTGCAAAAAACGCACCGTTTAATAATTTGGGAAACGTGCGCGCGGAAAACGAAACAAACAAACTCACTCTCTCACCCTCTCAAACGCTGCCTAGCTGTACCTAGTAGTAGGATCGATGATCAATGGAGTGCTTATTGCTAAGCCTGCTAATGGGTTGGGTTGAAGTGGGTAAAATGGATTGGTTTCAAGTTTGGGCTGGCTTTGATTGGATGGAAATGGTTTGACGAGACTAATGGGTTGGGGCGGTTTGGACTACACGTGAGAACGGTTTGGGTTGGTTTGGTTTTGGGTATAAAATTTCGGGTCCAACTTGGATTAAATCCATGGATGCTATAGTGGATTCGATCCATGGAGATAGGGACGACGCTACGCTGCTGGCTGTGCGCTCGAACGCCGCGGAGCTCGGCTGCTATGTCCTCGCACTCCGCCTCGACGGGTCGTCGCCGCCGGCGCAGATCAAACTCCCTCATCCCTCGAACCTCGGACGCGTCGCCAAGACGAGCGTCGAGATGCTTCTCGTGTCGTCGCCGGACGGGACGCTTAGCCTGGCCGTGGCGAGGCGCCACGAGATATCGATCGTTGTCGTCGAAGGACGACAGCACGGCGAGGCGGCCGCTGTCGTCGTTGTTGTCGAAGCATGACGGCGTTGTGAGGTGGATGCGCCGCGCCGTGGTGGACCTGGCAAGGGTGGTGGAGTCGGCGGCGCCGGAGGAGATACTGCCGCCATTGACGGCGGACGAGGAGGTCCGGCTCGAGTGCTTCGCCAAGAGCAGCGGCGCGATGCTCTTCCGGATGTACCATGGGTCCATGGCTGCCTCTTCGAACTCAGCTTGGCGACAATGGAGGTCAGGTTCATCGGCTACTATTCCTGGCCGGCGGGAGAAGAAGCTCGCCGCGCACCTCCGTGTCGTGAAGTAGCTCCGTCCCGCCGTTGTTGTGCGCGTCGGCCATGGATGCGAGCACGGCGGCGGGCGGCCATTGTCTTGTGCGTCAAACAGGCCAGCTGCTCACTCATCACGCAGTCTCTGGACATGGCGGAGGCGCGCAGCCACGGATCGAGCACGATGACAAGCTACTACCGTTGCATGCGTTCGTTGGGTTTGCATCAATGTTCCAAGCTGTTGTCTCCGCCGGCGGCGGCGGCGGTTTCATGTGGTCTCAGTCCATGGGTTTGAAATGGATTCAATCCACTTAGCTGCAATGGTTTGGGTTGGGTTGGTTTCAAACATCCTGCGGGCTGGATTGATTTGGATGTTAGAGATGAGAAAGTGGAGCGGACTGGTTTGGTGGAGTGGTTGCAGAGGAGGTGGATTGGGGTGGATGTGGCCTGGATTTTGACCCATTAGCAGGCTTGCTTATTGCCCCAAATTACACAGGTGCTGGGCCCCAGAAATCGTACCTTCTTCTACGTCCAACGAAGTTATGCATGCCGACGACAGCGCGATAGTATCAAGCCTCAGAGTTCACAACTTCAGATCAGCTGAGCGTGGGTGTTTGCCAGAACCGTTCATATTAGATCTGACGGTTATAATATTTTAGTACATCATACTTGGTGCTCCTACCAGTATTACTTCAGCTGAAATTTAGTGGGCATAAATTTGACCCTCCTTATTTTCATCGTACTATAATACCATGTTCCTACATATTAGATGAAAATCAGATAAGCATGTCATGTACAATGGAACCATCGTTAAAACCGATTAAGGAAGTAGAACGCGCCGGTTTTAATAGTTGAGAAAGTATACTGTTAAGGGGCCAACTAGAAAGGGTTATAATTGAGGGAGGTAAAATAGACCTTCCGTCCTAATATAATCACTTGTCCCCTTAACGGATTGGCCGACTTCGGATTGCTACAAATGGTGCAGATGCAGATTGATAATATGGGCCTAAACCTTCTTCCGCCAGCATAGCTATACTGGCCGTACTTTTGGTGGGCTAAAATTCATGTCTCCCCTAAATGGCTGGACCAAATAAGGACCCAGATATAGATGGGCCAATATGGTCTAAACCTTCCAAGGCGATGCTGAGGCCCAACATGGGCCGAACTTTGACGGCCTAAACGCCCAACCAGTATCCCTTGTTAATCTGAAAAATGTAAATTTAATCCGACGGTTCATAGAAACCCTCTCGCACGCTCTCCTCGACGGCTTGCCGGAGCCCGGTCGCCTTCTGTTTGATTCTGTATCCCTTCGCAGATCGCAGCATCTATTGCCCGAAGCGGCCTCTCGCCGCAGCTCCGCCGGATTCCTTCTACCCTTAACCAGTTTATGCCTGTCCGATTCTGTGGAGTGTTGAACTGTTGATCCAATTCAGGGAAGAACGGCGATGTTGCGAATGTGCGAAGATTCAGTAACGAGTTGAAGGAGATCTCATTTTCGATTCTGAATTTCTGTGAACAAAATTCATGTAAAAAAAACTTGATTCTAAGAGCTGCTTTCTTATCCAGCTATGTTTTACTCTAAAAGCATTGACGTTTCGAGTTTTGACGGAAGCTTCTTTATTCTGAGTTGTTTCTCCATTGTTCAGCATCTTCATACATACAGGGAATCAACTTCAAAGAGTCCTAATTCGGCAAGCTGAGGTTTAACTTATCGATAGTAAACATACGAGATTAGTCGAGCATATTTCGAGAGATGCAGATAAGACAAGTAATCACATCAACTGATCAACATAAAAACAACTCAATGGACAAAATTAGTTTGCCCTGTAAAAAAGCTTAATGCAGAACATGAATAACTCTGTGCAGAACTGCACGTACAAATACACCAGGAAACGCGCGAGACTCGTATTCCGTTTACACAGATGGCAACCACCTATGCAAATCGAAATGAAAAAACAAAAACAAAAAAAAACTACACAAACCATATGCAATCTGGATGTAAAAACACCGAGTACCAATACATTTACGCATGCAAAAAAGTAGAGTATTCACTTCAGTTCCAGTATCGCAGATCCTCCTGTGCCCACGAGGAAGAGAGCTGGGATAACTGACAGCCAGAGCATTGTCACCCCAGCCGCTCGCCGGCGGCCGTCGCGAGAAGCCCAGAGGCCCACCCATGCCTCGGCCACCCCGAAGAGGACGACGGCGACGAGCACGACGTAGTAGGAGTAGAACAGGGGATTGCTCCGGAGGAACAGGCCGGCCGGCGGCCTGAACAGCGCCAGGTACAGCGCCGCCGCGGCTTTCCCGACGCCGCCGGCGAACAGCGCGCGCCGAAGCTCCGCGACGTCTTGTCCCGCCTCCACCATTTCGGCAGCCGCGTTCGCGTCCCCGTTGCCGAGGCCGAGCTCGGCGTCGCCATGGAGTGCGGACAAGGCGGCGTTACCCATTGCGCGATCGAGGTTTCGGAAATGGTTTTGTGAGCTGGGGATTTTGGAGCGAAGGCTAGCACTGGTAATGGTTAATGGTGGAGATTAATTGTTCACATCACTGCGTGGATGAACAATTAATGGGACATAGGCAGCCCGAAAGCCCGAGCCCGCAGGGGAAGGGAGGGAAGGCCTGAGCCCGATGGGAAGGGAGACGCCGAATTCTTTACTGATCAGCGATTTGTATAAGCGCATCACGGAATAGTTTAGTTAACTAGAAAATCTTGTGTTGGAGATGACTTGTCACAAAGTACTACATGTCCAGTAAGCAAGAACACGTACATCGCCGAAAAAAAAAACGAAAAATCAACAAGAGTACACTTTTTTGCCCGGGCCAACAAGAACAGCTCCCATGGAGCACGCCTTCGGTAGCAGTACACTACTACTACTACT